TCTCTCCCTTCCTTCCTCTCTAAAATCAATAAATAAATTTAAATTTTTTTTAAAACTTCCTCAATCCTAATTTCCCGTATCAGCTGTATCAGTATTTACGTCAGTTTTCTCATTTATTTATTATTACAAAGACTGTAGCTATTCATATTTCAATAGCTGATTGCTATAAAAGATACTAAAATTAAATTTATAAAAATCATTACATAAACTATGTTTCTGACTTCTTATGCCATCAAATAGCATCAAAATTCTATCTTGGAGTGACAAAAATTTCATACATACTATAGGACTTTCCTTATGGAAAGTACTTTTAAAAATATATACCTATTCTTAGGCAAATAATTGAGAAGACAGGAATGCTGCTGAAATCTTTTTCTCAGGCCGCATAACAGACCATTAGTCACAATAGCATAGAGTTGTTTAAAATCATGGCACAAAGCAAACAAAAATTACCACAGAACAGAAGTTGATAAATCATTCAACTACAACTAACAAGAATAAAACTTGTTCCAAGTTATATACGGCAATAAAAGTATTGCTGCCCAAATGCAATGCAGTTGAAAAATTGTTACAAATAGGTTATAGAATATGAATCTGAATATAAATATATATAGAATAACAAGATTATTGTAGTGGTGCTTTATACACTATTTGAAGTAGTTTTTCAGTTTTTAAATAAATATCTCAGCATTCATTCAACAAATATTTATTGAGGGCCTATAATGTGCCAGGCATTATTCTATGTGCTGGAGATTATTCAGTAAATAAAACCAATAATTCTTTAAAGTTACAAAGTCAATTTCAGAATTGTATAATTTGCAGAGAAATTTTTTATTGTCCTAGTAAATGTATGACACGTCATATATCATGACAATATTTTCTCTTGCGTCATAATGTACTGCGACAATAAATCTGTAGATATTTAACTGATATACTGTAAGCAGTCTTGCTACAACATGAAAAAGTGATGGAGGAAATGCAAACCACAATCACTACCTAATTCAACAACTTCCTCTTCTAGAAAGCCAAATTTAATAATTAAAAGATCATCATAAATACAAAATGAAATCTATGATGATAACTACAATTAGACTAGGTATACACACTCAATTGCATAAACACAGACTGCAATTGATACCTCTGGTTAAAGTCTTGCACAAAATAGAATTCTGCTTAAAAGGCAAATTAATTTTTTTAAAAGAAGAAATTTTATCTTCCCATTTAAAAGAAATTAAACTCTTTGCATTCTTACTTGACTGAACCAAAGAAATTTAACTCCTTGTCATAATTTCTAAGTAAAACAAAAATTGAATAACTTTATCAGAAATCATAAAACAAAATAATTTTACTGTATATGAAAGTCTATGCAACAGAAGGACATCAATTGCAGTTGGGTTTATTTTTGCTTACAAAGCCCCCCAAAAAGGCTGTCAGCACAAAATAAACCCTCCTTTATGTACAGACCTTCACAAGGTTCTATCTCCTTGACTCCATTGTCTAGGAAAAACAAAATGAAAACAAAACAAAGGAGGGAACCAAAGCACAGGGGTTAAAAACAACAGAAATTTCCGAAGGCACAGAATGTATCATCAATTAATGAAAAGTTAAATGGTGTATTAAATTTTTGTTTTTGGCACAGCATATCCAGTTACCATATAAAGGGACAATTTAAAAAATAACAAAATTATTACAGTCTATCTTCCCATGTTTTTAGAGGCCCTTTAAAACCAAGAATTTATAATGTTTGGGGAGTAGGTTCACCTGTGTGTAAGCAAATGATGCTTCTTATTGCAAAAATTTGAAAGTAGTAAAAATATCAGTACAACATGCATCTTTCTTTGTATATTCATGATTACCTTTTTCTGGTACTCCAGTTTTGAGAAGGATCACCACTGTTGTGCATCAGATAACCAGTCCTTTGCAGTGTGTGAAAATTGATTTGGCTAGTTACTAATAAACTTTACGTAACTATCAATGATTACATAAACTTTGTAGCAAAGAAACAGCATACAACTGCTTATTAAACAAGAGCATTGTATTTACTTTTTAAAATGCATTAATTCAAATTAGTAAAATGTGCAAGAACAATAATAGTAGGTTATTTTACCCACAAATATTACACATTTTAAATGGAAAATATATAATATTTAATTACTAACAAATCCAGCTAAGGTATTCATTAAACAAAAGAGGAAATTAAGAAAGGAAGTAAAAAAATCTTGATTCACCTTAGCTTCCATGTGTACTTCCTACATGACATAATTAGAAATAAAACTTACTTCTCTCCAGCGTTCCCTTTGGTGGGAGTTGTGGGAGTTGTCGGCCCCTTCGTCCTGCCACTGGAGTACTTGATGGGCTTGTTTGGACAGACCCAGTACGAGGATGAGACCTATGAAATACACATTAATATTCACTTTCAATATAAAGAGTTAAATACCTTTAATACATTTGGTTCATATGATAGCTGTATAAATGCAATTTTAAAAGAGGTTTAGCTGCTGATTAAAAGGTTAGGAAGGTAAGACACAATATGGATATTTGAATGATTAAACAGGTAAAGATGTTTAAACTTTTGTGTAATATGTATACATACATAGATACATGCACAGAAAATCCTACAGGAGAAGCCATTGGAGTTATTAATGTAAATTAATATTCTATCCATACAAAAGATAGAGGAGAGAATTCTGTAGCTCAAAAAGTAAAAGGTAATGCCTTACATTTCTTTCTACCAGATTTCAAACTCTTAACTGTGACCTCTCTCCCTTGATCCAAAGAGATTTTTACTCAGGCTTATAATAGGTATCATGTTATTAGGAAATATCTTAGTGGAACTACAAATAAAACCCTGAAAAATTCGGAATTCAGCCAAAGAAGATAATGGTCAATGGTATTGATAGAAAGAAACTAAAAATCTAGCTCTGTCATCACAATGACCATTCCAACAGTGATGTCTAATGAACACAAACAATTTCTCATTCTGTAGAAGAGCATGATAGTCATGAGGTGCAATATGTGGGGATTTACCCAGGACTCCTGATAAATGAGAAATCACAAAACAAATGCAGTCAGGACAGTTCAACATTTTACAATGGTAGCCACACACTATTATATCCGCTGAATATAAGTAGTGTGCTTACACTGAGAAGGTTAGTATTGATTGTTGTTAGTGATCAGCCAAGGATGATAGAAGAGACCATTTAGCTGCTGGGAAATAAAATGGTGTGCTGGTGGGGCAAAGGGGAAGTTAGTCTGATTGGTTTATCTTTCACCTCGATAAGGCAGGTGAAGGAGGGGCAGATCTTCCAGTCATTAATGAAGGCATCGACCTCATGAGGTTTGTGTCGGGACGCTCAGTGGATCTGGAGCGGGTGGTGGTCCGCTCTAGGACAGGCCGCTGTTCTGTTGATCTGGATCTGTGATATGGCTGTCTATCTGCTGCTTCACAATCCCTGAAACGTTAGTCAAAAAGCAGCTCAGTTGATCTTTAGTGCCTTTCTGCTATTTGGTTATGATGCATCAAACTGATTTTGAAAAAGGTAATTGTTTAAAATCACTGAGTATGTAAGAAAAATTCTCTTCCCCAACATATTCTGAGCAAATTCTCACGAACTTTAAGACTTCCTAAGGAACTCAAATCTGCCTTAAATAGCAATTCCCAGTGAAGATCATAGGAGTTGCTCAGTTATAATAAAAAACAAACAAAATTGCCTGCTTTGCAAAGTGAATTCTCTGTGAAATATGTATTCTATTTTAAAAGACTTCAATTACTTTTTCTAACATTTCCAAGAGTGGAAAAAACCATCTAAACATTATTCTCAAACCCCTAAGGCTGTTTACAAACCAAATAAGATAGAAAAAGGCTTTCAACACAAGCGTAGTAGGTATACTGACACACCTGAACATTCAGACAGAGTCAAGATGTTCTAAGAAAACAAAGCTACTTGGCAGTCTGTAGCCATATTTAAACATGGTCTTCAAGAAAAACCACTGTATAGAAAACTGGTTAATCAGCCAACATATGCCATCTGTCTCAATGCACCTCAGTGATGCCAACCAATACAATTCAGAATGGGTATCAATTGAATGAAATAATAATGGTTCTGAAACAATATGATCTCTTTGACCACAAATAAACCAATATCAAAACCTGATCGTTGCTGAAAGAAGTATACTTAAATTTAAGTAATCTATCATTATTAATTCTTTTTAATCCTTGAAGTCTAGCATAATGCTTTACAACTAACATATGGCCAGTAAATGTTTTCTAATACATGTCCCATTATCAGTGAGACAACCCCAAAAATACCAGCTTTGACTCTAGAACTCCAAGTAATACATAATTCAAAGTATACTTCAAATCAAAGTACTGCCTTCCCACCTAGTGGTAACCACAGAAAAGGAAAAGCTTATATATTACAAATGATGAAGTAAGCACTAGTCTCTCTCAAGACCAATATATCAAGGATGTCCACTTTACCTGTAAATTCTCTCAATCTTGTTTTTGATAATAAAAATGCAATTTAAAATTAAATAAGAAAATAAAGAATACAATTTCCCATATATAAGTAATGACAAGGCATACACTTTCAGATCAGTAGATTAGGTGACATTAGGAAGTGAGTACTGGGTTTATTCTACAACATATCATTATCTTATACTTTAAATTCATAGGGTAATACATAAATAAGTCAAATAAGTTTTAAATATTTTGAAGTCTATGTACCATGTGATTGATTGCCTAAGATAATTTTAGTATTTTTATATAAATGTATCCAGAATATGCCAAAAAGCTAAGATTCAATGTAACTACATATACAATGTTCAATTACTTGTCAGAGAGGGAAAAAGGCAACTTGATAGTTTAAAAACTCATAATTCTATTTTTATTCTCAAAAAAATATTTTACAGAAAACAGCCTCTCTTTAGAAATAAATATGCTCAATAATTTGTTAAATTATTAGTGTACATATCTTTGAATATCTTTATCACAAGAAATAACCAGAACGAAAGGGATATCTTAGATTCCTTAAAAACCTATTTTGGGACAGTATCAGTATTTATATTATTTTCAGGTTTCCTATTATCCTAAGTTAGTAATTGATTTATCTCATTATAGTACATACAGTAACAAAACTCTGCAGAAGATCTATGACTACCCAAACAGAAATTCAGCCTATTTCATTTATTTATACAAACTGATTTATTTTGATTCCATCAAGGAATTTTTCCAAGTGGAAAGTGAAATATTAGGATATACCCTTTCAATTCTTTGATACTAGTCTTTGAGTGAAATCCAGAGAATCGTTTGAAATGTGTTGCTATGTTCTATGTCCTTTAAAAAGTACTGTTATTTATAAAGCAATCAGATCTCTCCTTAGGAAATATCTCTTACTAATATATCTTTTTAGTAAAAACGTTGTTTGAAGGCTATAGTCAGTTTAACATTTTACTTATATTGTATCTTCATCTCATAAATAACATAAGTTATATGATTTCCATAGTGTGAAATGAAAAATCTGTTAGTAAGTAGAACATGAGAAGAACCAGAGGAGACAGAAATTCCTGAAATGCCACACCACAGTTAAGGGGAATGGAAGGCTGCCATCTTTTAAATTTTGATTTAAACAGAAGGTCAGGATAGCTCCTGGCTCCCACTGTCAGGTAAGCATAGGTCTTACTAGAAAAGAACTCAGGTAATTGCTGAGATAACTGAAAGCAAACAAAGCCTAAGTCTCAAATATAATGTCCACTCCCATAGTAGGTTTTTTAAGGGATTGAGAAATAAAACTTGACATTGGCACTTAAATTCTTAGTGAATTTTAACTTTAAAATAACATAAACAATTAATTCTGAATACATAGTAGCAAGTGAGATGTGGGAAATAATAGATAACCGTTTATAATGCATAAAATATTTCAGTGCCTACTTGGAGTTCTTAACGTGGAGTATGTATTTCAATATAAGTTATTTCCTTACTTATTTAATTTATGCATTTTAAAACATTATTCAAAAAAGGTGGCCATAGGTTTTATAAGACTGTCAAAGGGCAAGCCATTTAAAAGGTTAGGAACCACTCACCTATAAATTTAAATCTTTCTTAGGTAATAATGTGGTTGTCTTTCAAAAAGTTACTTACTATATATCATGGTTCTATCTTTTTAATAAATAGTTTATATTTTCAAATATTTTTTAAAATAGTTCACTTTTTATACATGTCATTTACCTGGACAGGTTACTGCTCTGCCCTATTTAACAGCCACTATTCCAAACTGTGGGCCTTTGAAGAAGACACGGATGAACAGCCCCTCTGCAGGAGCCAATTCATACTGACTGATAGTACTGGAACAAGAGCCAGCATTTGTTATACCCCCTTGAAAAGCATGTAATATCATGTGATTTTGAGATGAGGATTTCTACAGGAAAAATAATTTCATAATCACCCAGTGAAGTTGTCCATTTTTAGTCAGTTTTCCTCTCAGTATAGTTGCTCTTAAAAGATTTTTTTAAATTTCCAAGTATCTGAAACAGTTCCCTATTTATTTCATCAGTTTTGCTACTTATTTATCCTATTCTAAATCAAAGTACAAGGAACTTACGCAGCATAACAGGAGGAATAGGCCAGTGGGCATGCTTTTCTATAACCACTTATATCAATCACAATGACACAACTCCAAATCAACACAAGCTCAGTATAGAGTACCTCCCAGATGTGACAGAATAGTAACTACTTAAAAAAACAACCAGAACAATGCAAATACTCAGATATACCAATGAAAACTGCCCTAGAATATAACTCAGACCTGTGCTCTATGCTAAATCAGCCTTATTTCATGTTTAGATTGTAAAGATGCCCTACTAAATCTAATAGGTTTTCTTAAAAAATAAACCTGTGAAAAGTAGAGCTGTTTAGGAATTAGTGTTTTTGTTTGTTTTTATAAAGAAATTATTTCTTTCTGAAACTGAAATCTTTAATAAGTGGATGTATCTCTGGAGGACAAGAAGTATAACCTCAAGTTTGGGGTAAGAAATGCCTTCCCTATATCCACATTGTATAATATTGTAAACTGATTTGCAACAAAAGCATTATACTTCTGATAAAATACCTGGAATGTCTAGAGATTTTCTGAACATTAAGTAGCTGCATAATATAAGAAATAAATACATAATAAAAATCTTAAATGAGGCATTTTATGTAATTAACATAACATATATGTGTAAAATATAACAAATAATTTAAAGTAATTCTATGACTCAACTATATAATTTTCATGTTCATTATAATGTGAGAGGTACAAGTTTAACTTTTTAAAAACCTCTAGTTTGTATTAGTTTAGCATTGCTTCCAAAGTTAAAGAAATTGCAAGACACAAAACACTCGCCATGGAAATCATGGTAAATAAGTATTGTGTACAAATAGAAACATTTTATTATTTTAGTAGAAAATAAATTCATTTATCCTTGGGAATGATAGCATTTCTCCACAGAACATTTCTGTTCAGTTAAACATAAATTCTGTATATTTGTCAAAAATAAATAAGCTTATTCAAAAATAACAGCAATATCTAGAGTCAGCCAAGTTAATAATCTAAAATGTGAAAAGGGTAATAAAACATCTATGATGAGAGAAAGCAAGACAACTTCAATGTAGAAAAACATATTACTATTACCAATAAGCCTAAATTATCATCAAAAAGAGAAGTAATGCCTGGCCAGGAGTGACTCAGGGGTTGAGCATCGACCTAGGATCCAGGCGATCAGGGTTCGATTCCCAGTCAGGGCACATGCCTGGGCTGTGGGCTTGATCCCCAGTTGGGGGATACAGGAGGCAGCTGATCAATGACTCTCTCATCATTGATGTTTCTATCTCTCTCTCTCCCTCTCCCTTCCTCTCTCTGGAATCAATAAAGATATATTTTTAAAAAAGAGAGAGAGAAGTAATGTGTCTCCTGTCTAGAAAAGTTTTTTTTTTTTTAAATAGTTGTTACTGGAAACAGCGAAAAAGAAAGAGTAAATACCCCAATTTCCTCAAGAAAAATAGAGACAAATGCAATAATGATCAATAATGATATATCGCATTATTGATATGCACACAGAAACATAGAAGACAGAAATACCTTGAGAATATTTTGAGTATCTTATTAAATATTTATAATTCTTGTTATTTAATGTTTATTTCAAAAAACAAAAAAACAAAACCAGAAACAAAACCAGGAATAAGCAGGATTATTTACCCAAGAACAATTAACATTTAGCAAATTAATACATCTTTAAAAAAATATTTTCAAAATCCTGAGAGAAAATATAATTACCACCTTCTATCTGTAAGATTTTAATTTTACTAAATAAGTAGTTTCCATTTTCAACAGATGTTAAAGTTTAATAATAACATTTGTCAATTGTAAGAAGCTCAAGTCATTCCACCAAGGTATTGGCCTTATGCTTTCCTTCC